TCGTTCTTATAATGAGTATGTTGGGACGTTCCTAAATGTTATTCAACAGTGCATTATCAATAGAAAGCCTGCAGTGGGATCCTCATTCAGGATAACAGTTTGCCCTGACACGCACAGCAGTCAGTGTAAGGGGAGAGACATGATTGTTTCTGGGTCGGCCAGCAATATCCCAGATGACCTACAATCGGCCAAGTCACAATTAGCAACCATCCTCATGAGGCCGATCTAAGTTTACCGCCACGTATGGTCAATTGAAACCTATTGCGCCGCTTCCCACCTCCTACTCCGGGGTGAAAAGAGAGAGTAAATAGTGCGTCTATCATACTGATTCAGAAGACCTTCATCATTGATTCAGCGCCTGGCAAGACCATTTGCCAGGAATACAGTTCCCAAGCATCCTCATTAATGATCTTTAAAAGAAGAAATATGAGTCAACAGCCACGGTAGCGTCTGGCATTAGTTTCCTGTGCGAAATAGAGATCGTCACTATATAATTACCTTGTCTGTTACTGGTTCACAAAAGGATTTGCGCCTACAGCCCTTTCTGACTTCACACTTACACCAGGACAAGCATATTCAAACATATGTAACCTACATCACCTTAATGTGGCAGTGAACAATTACCTGTACAACATTGAACTGTTACCTGTACAACATTGAACTGTTAAATCTATAACATTGAACTGTTACATCTACAACATTGAACTGTTACATCTACAACATTGAACTGTTAAATCTCCAAAATTGAACTGTTACCTGTACAACATTAAACTGTTACATCTACAACATTGAACCGTTACATCTACAACATTGAACCGTTACATCTACAACATTGAACTGTTATATCTACAACATTGAACTGTTATATCTACAACATTGAACTGTTACATCTACAACATTAAACTGTTACATCTTCAACATTAAACTGTTACATCTTCAACATTGAACTGTTACATCTACAACATTGAACTGTTACATCTTCAACATTGAACTGTTACATCTACAACATTGAACCGTTACATCTACAACATTAAACTGTTACATCTACAACATTGAACTGTTACATCTACAACATTGAACCGTTACATCTACAACATTGAACTGATACATCTCCAACATTGAACTGTTATATCTACAACATTGAACCGTTACATCTACAACATTGAACTGTTACATCTATAACAATAAACTGTTACATCTACAACATTGAACTGTTACATCTGCAACATTGAACTGTTACATCTACAACATTGAACTGTTACATCTACAACATTGAACTGTTACATCTACAACATTGAACTGTTACATCTACAACATTAAACTGTTATATCTACAACATTAAACTGTTATATCTACAACATTGAACTGTTACCTGTACAACATTGAACTGTTACATCTACAACATTGAACTGTTATATCTACAACATTGAACTGTTACATCTACAACATTGAACTGTTACATCTACAACAATGAACTGTTATATCTACAACATTGAACTGTTATATCTACAACATTGAACTGTTACATCTACAACATTGAACCGTTATATCTCCAACATTGAACTGTTATATCTACAACATTGAACCGTTACATCTACAACATTGAACTGTTAAATCTACAACATTGAACTGTTACATCTACAACATTGAACTGTTACATCTACAACATTGAACCGTTATATCTACAACATTAAACTGTTAAATCTCCAAAAATTGAACTGTTACCTGTACAACATTGAACTGTTACATCTACAACATTGAACCGTTACATCTACAACATTGAACCGTTATATCTACAACATTGAACTGTAATATCTACAACATTGAACTGTTATATCTACAACATTGAACTGTTACATCTACAACATTAAACTGTTACATCTTCAACATTGAACTGTTACATCTACAACATTGAACTGTTTCATCTTCAACATTGAACTGTTACATCTACAACATTGAACTGTTATATCTACAACATTGAACTGTTACATCTACAACATTGAACTGTTATATCTACAACATTGAACTGTTACATCTATAACAATAAACTGTTACATCTACAACATTGAACTGTTACATGTACATCTGCAACATTGAACTGTTACATCTACAACATTGAACTGTTACATCTACAACATTGAACTGTTACATCTACAACATTAAACTCTTATATCTACAACATTAAACTGTTATATCTACAACATTGAACTGTTACCTGTACAACATTGAACTGTTACATCTACAACATTGAACTGCTATATCTACAACATTGAACTGTTACATCTACAACATTGAACTGTTACATCTACAACAATGAACTGTTATATCTACAACATTGAACTGTTATATCTACAACATTGAACTATTATATCTACAACATTGAACCGTTATATCTCCAACATTGAACTGTTATATCTACAACATTGAACCGTTACATCTACAACATTAAACTGTTCAATCTACAACATTGAACTGTTACATCTACAACATTGAACTGTTACATCTACAACATTGAACTGTTACATCTACAACATTGAACTGTTACATCTACAACATTAAACTGTTATATCTACAACATTAAACTGTTATATCTACAACATTGAACTGTTACCTGTACAACATTGAACTGTTACATCTACAACATTGAACTGTTTCATCTTCAACATTGAACTGTTACATCTACAACATTGAACTGTTATATCTACAACATTGAACTGTTACATCTACAACATTGAACTGTTATATCTACAACATTGAACTGTTACATCTATAACAATAAACTGTTACATCTACAACATTGAACTGTTACATGTACATCTGCAACATTGAACTGTTACATCTACAACATTGAACTGTTATATCTACAACATTGAACTGTTATATCTACGACATTGAACCGTTATATCTCCAACATTGAACTGTTATATCTACAACATTGAACCGTTACATCTACAACATTAAACTGTTCAATCTACAACATTGAACTGTTACATCTACAACATTGAACTGTTACATCTACAACATTGAACTGTTACATCTACAACATTGAACTGTTACATCTACAACATTAAACTGTTATATCTACAACATTAAACTGTTATATCTACAACATTGAACTGTTACCTGTACAACATTGAACTGTTACATCTACAACATTGAACTGTTATATCTACAACATTGAACTGTTATATCTACAACATTGAACTGTTACCTGTACAACATTGAACTGTTAAATCTACAACATTGAACTGTTATATCTACAACATTGAACTGTTACATCCACAACATTGAACTGTTACATCTACAACAATGAACTGTTATATCTACAACAATGAACTGTTATATCTACAACATTGAACTGTTATATCTACAACATTGAACTGTTATATCTACAACATTGAACCGTTATATCTCCAACAATGAACTGTTATATCTACAACATTGAACTGTTTCATCTACAATTGTTAAAAATACGTCCAGAACAGATATGTTTAAACAAAATCAGGCAAAATCATTCTTGTTTCAGAAAATCAGAAAACAATTCCACATGTTTGTTTCAGGCGTGGTGCTGTGCAAGATTACCAACTCCATGCCTATCTTCTGTATTGTCGTGTCCATCTACAGTCTGGTCGCTGTGTTTTAAACAACTTCATGTTAATACACTGCCGGGCAAAAGGAAGAAAACATCCATGTTTGATGGGGTGAAACAAACAGGAACTAATAGTTATGCGATGGTGATGTATTTGATACGGGTGTCATTGTTGTGTTTTCGGCGACTGTTTTTATCCTTTAGTCCTGGCCACGTGAAATAGAATCACGAAATAACGCGGTTTGTTTGTTTGTTGTTAAACGCCGCACTCAGCAATATTCCAGCTATATGACGGCGGTCTGTAAATGATCGAGTCTGGACCAGACAATCCAGTGATTGACCTTATGAGCATCGATCCACGCATTGGGGATACGGCGACATGCATCAACCAAGTCAGCGAGCCTGACCACACGATCCCGTAAGTAGCCTTTTACGACAAGCATAACGCGGAGATTGATGAATGAAGACAGCTGCACACGTGCCGATTACTATTGAGTGAAAACAAGCCATTCCGTCGATAAGAAATATTACTTACAGTAATGACAAAAATTGCAAAGTGCGCTCTTCAAGAAATTTCCATTCTCCTAGCGATAAACACCATCATTGAGGTTTGATCACGTGGTTTCCAACTCGATGGCTATATATATTGTTCCACGATCTAAAATGTACGTCCTCGTATTTTAAGTTAAGTGTTTTAGGAAGTGAATCATGTTGCTTTTGTCGTTAGGTCACGAGGAAGCAGTTTGCTGAAGCGTATAAGGTGCGATGCAGATTTGGATTGGCGATCAATAAGGAAAACACTTTGCTACAACCCACAGCCACAAGTCAAAATTAAAATCGTTTACAGGGAGCAGCAGAGAGATTGGTTACCTCAGCTAAACGTGCTGTATCAGGCAGACTCAACGGTCACGTTATCAGGAAAGGATCTTCCGTTAATCATTCGTTGGTAAACCATTGCGCGAATCAAAAAATATTTACTGGGACACGGGTGGCCCAGTCGTCGAAAGTCGCCGCAATTCGTTGTGCAGAGTTGCCTCCCTTACGGACCCCAGAAACCTTGATCGCTTGTTCAAATCCAGGTTCGCCCTGATTATGTTTCTGGGCTTGTCAGCACCATACCTGTACTCGTGGATGAAATGTTCCCCCACATTATCCTGACACGCAATGATATAACTGGTATACTGTTCAAAGTAGCATAAAACATGACTCACTCACAATTCTGCTTTCTGTTTTGTTCACTCTGCGTTTATTCAGACACTGGAAGAAAGCTACATAAAAAGGACGAAAAACATTTCCTTAATCATAAGAAGTCTCTACTAAAACAGTCCATTGTACGACTCCGACTATATCATTAGCATGTGCTAATGCACCATTATCAAACAGTGATGACAAATAAATGCCATTTTTGTAGGTCATGCAGCTTTAAAAATCATCCCAGTAATCTGGATGGGTGCAGCCGTCGTCATCATCCCCACAGTCATCGAGTACTCCGTCTACATCAGCGTCTCAGACGACAACAACATCTCCGCCACGTCATGCGCGTCAGTCACCTTCTCTTCGGCAGCCTCCATCTCCAACGGCTTCGTGCTGCTGTTGACGGCGTATATCATCCCCCTCATCTTCATCCTGGGCAACTACTTGAGAATACTGAACTTTCTCCGAGAGCACGGGCTTTGTGATGGGTCGAGGCGGAGGAAGAGCACTCCCAGAGGGTTCTTCATTTACCGCCATCAGGTGAAGATAGTCAAGATGTTCATACTCGTGGCTGCCCTTTTCGCCATATCCTGGCTGCCTTACTTTATACTACTCATATCACAGGTGAGGCTTCTGTTTGCAGGAAACATTCTACTTGAAGAGTTGTCTCCCTTAATCATGTAAGATCCGCTGATCGGGAGTTTAAAGATTCGCCTCTGTTATGAGAATTGGTTTGTTAGAATGATTCTGGTATCGTGCAGTATTATGTTGGTTGGTTTGCCCAAAGTGCAAACGTCTACGACCTGCATCGCTTCAGGCTGCCTCCAACATTTACATATAACTGAAATACCGTTTATTGCCGAGTGTTCTATGGCGAGTTAATAAGCTGGGTATCGTTGCACAACTGAGCCTCAAGGGATAACTCCCTTATTGCCCTCACGATATTTCTCCAGAAATTGACCTAAACTAACGATCGCGTATTGCTTTCCTTTAAGAAGTCATATTTAGTTCTGATTTCCCCGTCTTCATGAGAAAATACCATGCAATTCAGGCATCCTTCGCATTTTGTCTTACATGCGGGTACCGCATTATTTCTGATTGCCTGTCATGGGCATACGCTCTTCGCCTTTGTTGTTGGATTTGCGTGCGACAGAGGAGCCAAGAGTAATAAACGATGTCTTGTTTCAAGACCAAACAATTACCCTCTGACAATTTATAGTGACTTCTTGTATGATAGGGAACTGTTAGTATGGTACAATCTTTCAATTAAGAAACAGATCGTTGAGGTGTTTCCCATAAAAAAATCCTTTGGAAAACTGTAAAGGCAAGATCATCGAGACTGATTATTCTCTGGCGTGGACGTTTTATCCATATTGACCAAAATAGGACAAGGTATTATAAGTATCCTTTACTTAAGGACCCACATGATCGAAATTCAGAATCATTGAAATGAACTAACGTTTCAGAAATTGTTTTGGAAGTTTTGTTGTGTTCAGGACATGCCGACCTTTAACTTACATCTGGTGCCATCGCTGATCCGTTCACATAGTTTCCACCACTATTTTGCCGTTTACACCCAATGGAATCGGTTCCGGCAGATAATCGGGATGGATTATTCTCTGGAGTTGACGTTTTGATTTCACATGAATGAAATTCAGATTTCGTTTTGTTCCAATCTCATAAAAATCAGATCTTAGTTCTCGCTACCGCTGAACAAAGATCTGAGGACATCCCATTACGGGTCACGTCAGACCGACCTTGCGCAAACTTTGACCGACCAATGGAATGACCAATCAGAAGGCAGATTTCTCGTGCTTTACGGCACTAATTTCAAATTGGCGACTACTCTTCGAAACATTTTTTGACAAATTTTCGATTACAAATTTGAAACCTAAACAAAAAAACATTCTGGAATGGCTGATAGATGGTGTAGATTATTTGGATTCAGTCGTTAAACCCGTAACTATCGTTCGGAATACCCTGTGTTAAAGTTTTTGAGGTTGCATGATTAAAATTCACATTCCGACTGTCACTTTCATGATCTGGTAAGTGACGCTCTGATTGGTCGGATGAAAGGTCGGTCGTTCTGACGTGACCCCTAATGGGATGTCTTCAGATCTTTGTTTAGCGGTAGCGAGAACTAAGGTCTGATTTAAATGAGATTTGTTTTGTTCAAATGTTCCACGTCTTTTTTTTGTCAGCAACAAAATTAATGTTTAACTGATCCTAAAATGTTCCATAAAATTAAATTTCTAGATGTTTTCAGGGGCGTTTATAACCACGTGAACCTTTATAATTTCGACATTAATTTGTTTAGAAGATGTTTGACATACAGACACGTAGTAAAAAGATAATTTTATTCATACATGTCTGGTCATGTTGTCTTTAATTTTTTTAAATCATTTACAGTGAGTCCTTTCATTTTATCATCAGCAACTAAACGGTTTGTTTTAATATTTCAGAAAATATCGGGTAGAGACGATCATATGTTTGTGGGTGGCCCTATAAACATGATCAAAATATCCTTAGCCTCGTTCAGCACGGCATACAACGTCGTTCTCTACGCCATCTACAACCGCAACTTCAGGGGAGCATTTAGAAAAATGTTTTACAATGACAAAACCGTTGACGACGGTACCGATCTCGGCTCTAACAGTAGTCACAGTCGCAGTTCCACTAGCCTCCCTCTGGCTGCGAGACCACCAATCGTCACTCAGATGTAGGCTGTTCCGTAAAAACAAATGTACATCTTTCTGTGTTCATGGTTATAAAACATATCATTGTGTATTGTGGGCGTCCTTTTTCCATGTTTTTATCCATGTGTCGTTCTTCGCAAAATAAAATAAAATTGCACCATTGTATCGATCACCGAACAATATACAGTAAACTACGGTTATAACGAACTCAAAAGGACCAGTAATTATAACCGTAGTACATTATAAACATATATACAGGATATATACAGCAAATGCCCGTGACCAAAACACAGTACGTTATATCCCTCAGTTCGTTATAAGCGTGTTCGTTATAAACGCACTTTACTGTATTACCCAGAAATGTGCATTAAAGTTAATAGAATTCGGCTTATTTATGGAATATGTTTATTACAGAATTATCAAATAAACCATAAACTGCTGTGGTGGATTCTGGTCGATGGGATTAACACTAAAGGGTTGTCTGACACGCACATGAAGTCATGTTCTACATTTTGAAATGTGTATTATCATGACTGGGAAAACGTGCCACCGTTGTTCTTATCGTGTTCAGATCTCTGTTTGTAATATCATGCAGTTTATTTCAAGCGTGTTTTTTTTTTCTAAAAAATGTAAATTACGGATTTGACAAATTCAAATCGCATTAAAAGCTGGGCCCCGTTCCACAAAGTGACTTTAGCACTACGACGAACGTAAGCCTATGTTAATGTATGGGACTTACGATCTACTTAGCGCTAAGATCGCTTTGAGGAACGGGGCCCTGATCTTTTACTGTGATACGACACCTCTCTGTGTGTAGATCTGACGACATTTCCATGGGAGATGGCAGGGCGATCAGAAACGAAAGGATTTAGAGAACATCAGCAAAATGTAATTACGCGGCCTTCATATTTTGCATCCGTAATCGATATGCTTGTCTGAATGCTTTGCTCACCAGTACAGAGAACTGAGAAGCCTCGACACTGATTGGCTGGTTAGAATGTTCACATAACTTTTAGCTTGAAAAGGTGAGGTGAAGTGTGTGTGTGTGTGTGTGTGTGTGTGTGTGTGTGTGTGTGTGTGTGTGTGTGTGTGTGTGTGTGTGTGTGTGTGTGTCTGTCTGTGTTTGTGTGGTGTGTGTCAGAGAGAGAGAGATAGATAGTTAGATAGAGAGAGAGTGATCTATGTCCTCATCCTTGCTGTCATCTAACACTAGCGAAGTGTAGTAGCAGTGGGTCTAAGGTGTGATATTGTGTGATTAATGAAATCTACATTTTTCTTATTTTTCTGAGTGTGCGTGCGTGCTTGTCCGAGGACTACAGTAGGAGCGCTGGGTCCCAAATTGAATTGGTCCAATTTCAAAACACAGTTCGTTCATCTTCAAGGTGTTCGGTGTGGGAGGATGTGTGTTTGCTTTAACAATAAAATTGTACGATAACCAACTTCAACTCGTCGTTTATTTTTTAAATAGTCGGAATATTACAATGGACAGCTTTAGCAGATATTTCTTATAATTATAGAAACGCTTGTTTATATTTCAGTGACAAATAAATGTCAATACCCAGGACTTCACACTCGTCACACTTCATTTCGTTCTTATAATGAGTATGTTGGGACGTTCCTAAATGTTATTCAACAGTGTATTATCAATAGAAAGCCTGCAGTGGGATCCTCATTCAGGATAACAGTTTGCCCTGACACGCACAGCACTCAGTGTAAGGGCAGAGACATGATTGTTTCACCAGTACAGAGAACTGAGAAGCCTCGACACTGATTGGCTGGTTAGAATGTTCACATAACTTTTAGCTTGAAAAGGTGAGGTGAAGTGTGTGTGTGTGTGTGTGTGTGTGTGTGTGTGTGTGTGTGTGTGTGTGTGTGTGTGTGTGTGTGTGTGTGTGTGTGTGTGTGTGTGTGTGTGTGTGTGTGCTAATTAAGCCTCTAAACATCCATCTGACGAGGTAAATCAGCGATGCCCGACATCACACCTCCACGCGACAAGTTAACATGACGGCCTAAAACGAGCCTCTATAGGTTCTGTGTCCACACACATCTGGCAAACGATCACGGCTAGGGATTTGTGTCTTATTTAAAGGAAATAATGAAGTAGGTCGGCAGTCACTTCCTATCTCCTCTAATGGCTCCTGTTAACCCTTTCAACGTGGCATGGAGATATCCTCGTGATCAGACAATCAAGTGACTGAAATTATGAGGTGTCTTTTCTGACGTGGATTATCGGGTTCAAATCCCACTTTTTTAAATTTATGCATTGACACCAGTGACATGAACCAGAAAATAATACCTGTTTATAACACACATCAACACACATGAAAATCATAGTCCGAGTGACTCTGGATAAGAACCCACGACCAGCGGATCGTGGCACGGGTAGGGGACGCAACTCTGAAAAGTGAATTGCGTAACCTAACAGCTGTCCCTGACTCAACTATAGACTTTCCTAATAGAGGGGTTAAAAAATTGCGTTTCCTTGATTTTCGCTGCTTTAACCAATAGTTTAGAGCACCGGTTTATCGTAGAAAGTAGTCTAGCAGAGCCTTGAGAAAAGTTTAAAAAAAGTGTCCAACTCAAGTCTAGATTTGCCTCAGCTCCTGAATTTAAGAATTGTTCTGGGCTCCATTTGGTTTATATTATTGTTATTTTGTAGATATATATTTTAGTCTTTATTTCCGGGTCTGAATAACAGTCTAGGTAGAAAGAAGCATTGGTGAGCTGAAATAGCGTTGTGTTAATTGGCAATAAAGAGGTCAATGTGTTTTGAGAAGAAGCTGACTATCCCTCTTGAAATATTTGTTGAAAGTGGAAAATAACGTTAATAATAATAATAATAATAATAATAATAATAATAATAATAATAATAACAACAATAACAACAACAATTTATTTTAGACAATTTGAAAAACGCCGCACTATGACAATCTCGAAGAAAACATCTAAGAAACAGCAGCAGCCAATCTTCCCCCAAACCTGGCGTATTTTGTGCGCCATACTTAAGATATTTTGCATGTCTAGAGGTAGTTGTACAAATGAGTTCTGGGACACTGTAGTGAAATCGAGAACCTCAAAAGTCGGGTAAGGTCAGAGTAGGTTGACGAGACTGTTCGTGTGTTACCGGGCCCCGAGGGAAAGGAACGATGTTCATGCCTTCAGTCGCCGGTTTGTCTGGTCCAGACTTGATTATTTACAGGTTGTGGTGATATAGATATAATATTGCTGACTTTGGTGTTAAGAAACATTCACTCACTGAACGTCTCGAGTACAATTACACATTATGCTGACAAGCCAATATAAATCTCAGGGCACCTGAACCAACGGTTAACGGAACTGTATTATGCATACCTGTACTACGCATAGACTTGCACAAGCCTCTAAGGCAATAATTACTAGTTCAAATAATAATTTCTAGATTATGTAAATAATAAAAACAAGTTGTCCTAATAAGAGACTGGAGTCCTTAGACTTGGCTGTCCACATATCTAGACTTGCTTATAAGGAGGATAGAATTACTACACAACCATGGACTTACTATACACAGCGAATTGTTTTGCCTTAAACTCCCTTGGTTTCATCCATGTTCAATATTTCACGGTCTTGCATACACTACGTTTTCAATTACACGTGAACACATAGGGTAGTGACGAGTGTTTATTGTAAGCTAATGAAATGTGTCCGTTTATAACTCATGAAAGTCAAATGAGCCATACTCCAAGTTTGTATAAACAACGCCATAGCCTGACACTGAAGCAAATTGTAGAATGAGTGAGTGAGTGAGTGAGTGAGCTTTTAACAGTATTCCAGTTATATCACGGCGTGTCAGCTTGATGTGGGAGGAAACCCGAAGTGATGCAGGTCTCAGACGTTTACCACTTCGGTTTCTGGAGTGCCCAAGGGACGCAACTCTGCACAGCGAATCGCGGCGCCTTAGACGACTGGACCACCCGTGCCCCCAGTCAACCAGAAGGCCATGACACACGTTGTACACGCTGTCAAGCTGGTAACATTATAAGTTGTATAACATTATGGCCGGATCTAGTAAAATGGGACATTGTAAAAGAATTAACACAAATTCAAAATTGATAGAAAACAGATGTTCGATTGAGCTGAGGTTAACGTGCTATGTCACGTGACTTCATTTGCTCGAGAAAAGCGTGCGGCTTTTTTTTTGCATCGAAGCAGGGTATAAGGATTTATACTGCCTCTCAGAAATCCCCGTGCAGCCTGCATTGTACCTGGCGGGGTATAAGACCTTTAATCCTCCGCTGAGAAATTTATTACCCTCCAAGGCGGGTTACACGGTATTTTTTCAAAATCCAGCGGACCAATCAGATCTCATCAGTCTGATAGAGGTATAATAATGACGTTTGTATCGTTGTAACGACAGCACTAATTGGTCAGTGTACTCGCTGGTTCCCCTCTCGTTTGAACCAGACTGTCGCTTGATTCCTTGGATACAAATCTGCAAAGCGGCCATATTATTCACAGATGATGGAGGCACGTCGTGCTCACAAACCCGGGAAGTTTTGACGGTGTGCTTCCTCACTAAAAGGAATATTAAATAAAAAACAAAAATACATTCATTTCATTTTTTTATTACATGAGATGACTGGAATGATCGCCATATTAACCTTGATGACCACGTCAGCCAACCATTATTTTCCCTAATACTGACCAGTAACGGTCACCTATGGATATTGCCAATGGTCAAATGTATTACATCTGGCCGTCCGTAAATTATGATACCATACACGCCCCTGCGTGTTCATAGCTATAGGACATTTATACTAGTCAACACGTGAAGGGTATTTTTCTTACCACTCATGCATTAAGTGAACAATGCATTACTGCGCTCACTAAAGCCATCACATATTACAGAACTTGCCTTCCATACTCTTACGTGACAGGAAGTGTGTGTCAAACACTCTCTATTACAATTCGGTTTAACTGAAGCCTGTGCTCACTGTCACTTGGTTTATGGCTTCTTAGATCAATATTCTAAAATAATGTCATAAAATAAA